AATATCCCCGCAAGCTGTTTAGCTACAATCTGCTCAAAGACTTCATCTGCAACTGGAAGGACGGAGATGGGTCTTTAATTCTCCTTTAGTAAGGGGTTGTCACACTTGAAGACTGGCACCCATTCGCCCTTTTTCCATAACTGGGGCCATTTTCAGTGTCTCCATCACTTGTTGAACTTCTGCTTTTTGAATAGGTTTGAATGCAAGAGCTTCATGTTGGATCGAATGCTGTGTTATTTTTAAGACTCTTTGGTGGTTATTGAAATCACTCTCGGTTAGGGAATCAACATTCTCCCTAACAATATCATCTGCAATTGTTACAAAATAGCCGGCCAGGGTTTCTGCTACCTCATCTTGATTCCTGGCAATTTCTTCACCAACTTTAAGATTTAATTGGGAGCTTTTTTTGGATGCCTTCGAGCTTAAAAATGGCATAAAAGTTCTATAGAAATCTGCTGGGTTCTCCTTAAGATGATTTGATTTATCCCTCCAACATGACTTGATTGCTCTTTGCCTCTGTCTCTTGGCTTCATTGTGGCATTTACGTAGCTTATCCCAGTTGGAGTCTGATTTGTCCTTGTACATGTACTAATTTGCTAATGCCTTTCTCTTAGCTCTAATAGCGTTCTTCCAATTTGTTGTCATATATGGCACATCCTTTGCTCTCACCCTCATTTTCTTTAAGGGAAGATTCTCATCAGTAATATTAGTGTTCCAGTAGTGGACTTGGTCATCCAAATCGTCAAAATTTCTCCAACATGCCATGGGGCTTCAGAGAGGTCCCAGGTAAACTTGTTACAATCAAAGTTTTTGTAACTTCGAAAAGTTATAACTTTGCTAGGTTGTCGTGGAAGTTTTTCCTTCAAGGTTCAATAAATAAGCGCATGATCACAAAGTGAAGGGTGGTAGATCCCACCACTTTTAAATTGGTCTGGCTTGTTTGTTAACAGTATATCAATAGGGCCATTTATACGAGGAAAAATAAGACGCATCTTACATAAGACGCGTCTTAAAAAAGACGCGAACTGTACCATTTATATGAGCATGTCTTATCTAATAAGACCCGTCTTAGCTAAGCCGCGTCTTATTTTAGACGAAATGTGCCGTTTATACGGAACGTTCGCGTCTTATTTAAGACGCATCTTATGTAAGACGCGTCTTATTTTTCCTCATATAAATGGCCCTAATAAGGGTAGAGGTTGTTATTGACCCTTTCTGCTCCGTGCATGTAGCTTTGTCAATAAGACAAGTGAACTCTTGTTCCACCTCCAAGGCAAGGAGTAGTTTTCCTTCACTTTTATATGGCCCGAGCCTGTCAAGATTGAGATCACCAAGAGTAGTAACAGAGTCCCTCTGTAAGGAGGCGCAAGTGCAAATGTCGTTAAGTTCATCCTCAAGTTGTAGTCGATAATTACCTGACGCTGGTTTGGGTTGACGATGTACATGTATGCCAATGATGATCATGTCAGTAGTACCAACTCTTATATTAACTGCAAGAGGCTCCAAGGTCTTAAAAGTCCTGTTGATCCTCAGCCTTTTACATGGTAGTAGTGTTGATACATAGACCAGAATGCCACCTCCACCCTTCTTCCTGTCATTGCAGTATAAGGTATAGCTAGGAATTGTGAATTGATAAAGATAATGTGAGCCTTTAGTTTTCTGATCATTGCAACAAGTTCCTCAAGTTTTTTTCACAGTAGTAGATGGCACTTTACAGTCAGGACTAGGGTTCAAACTTATATCTCCACTAGTAGCCAGTCGAGCTAAGTTGAAGGTGGTAACAGAATTGGGTTAATAAGTTATCTTTATAGTGGAAAATCTTTTCACGTGGATTCCAAGATGGCAGACTGAAGTGGTATGACCAGTAACTGGCAAAAAATTTGGTTCCGTGGACCTTGTAGAATCTCCAAAACAATCCAAATGCATTGCGTGATCCACTATGCTTGAAATTTAACAGAAGAACTCTGCTGCTCAGTATAAAGTAGAGCAACAAAACAAACAAAAATGAAGAGTGCAAATGAAAGCATCCAACCGACATGATGACCGCTGACCCTTCACACTGATGACACTGATGACCCTGACGACATAAATCAATGTTTACATAATAAATACGGCACATTTATTGGGTTCCAAATGCAAATTTGTTAAATTTTACATTTCCTCTTGTCGATTTTGGTAAAGTGTTGTGTTTATCTGCCAATGAGCTCCAGAAAAACTCAAATTAATAATGTTTCTCCTGGAGAACAATATATTCAACCAATATTAACTGTTTTGTCATACAGCTGTAGATTCATCAAGTTTTCATTTGACTTGTCTGTCATTCGTAAACAATAACTAAAACAATGTAACTTCTCCATTGTTTAATCAGTGCTTATGACCGAATTCCAGACAGATTTTACGTCTTCAGTATGGAATTTTCATCTCTGAGCCATAGACATTCCTCCTTGCGAAACGCCGCCCAGTGGTGATGAGTCAGGAGAAACATATGTTTTCGCAGGCTAGCGGGGAATTAAACAGTTAAGATGGTATGAATGTAGTCATGGGTTACAGGGTTTCAATATGGTTTTGAGTGGGTGGCAAAAACTTTGTAGTAGACAGAGATGGAAAAAGGTTGCACCTGTTTCTAGGGTGGTCCAGGCACATGACCCCCTCCCCCCCTCCCCTAGGCCTGCAGCCCTTATTGACATTCCTGACGTGAGGTTCAGTGTTGTTCCACAACCCTTATTCTGGTGAAATCTTTCAATGTTGAAATTAATGTTGCAATTTGCTTTTGAACAGGGTAGGACAGATCTTCAGATGTACAGTGTATATTCATGAGTGGCCCCAACAATGGAGGTAGCTGTGAAAGCTAAAGGACATCATTGCCACAGGAAGGAGATCACAAGTTCATAGGTTGGTTTGTGACCTTCATTGGTGTTATTACTAGCATGGAAAAGTAGATTGTAACTTAATCATGTGGTAAATTGGCTGTCATTTTGATTAGGGATCAGTCCCAGTTAAATTGGGCATTTCTGATCATAAGACTTCTTTACATCCTAAAGTTTACTAGTCTCGGAATGTGATTTGTATAAATCTCATGAAATGAAGTTATTATTATTATTATTATTATTATTATTATTATTATTATTATTATTATTATCATAAATTATTTTATTATCGTGGCTACAATCTGTTGCAAAAAGGCTTGAGGCACCAACTTATTTATTTGGCCAAAATTGTTTATCAGACATTGTGTAATTCAGGATGCTCTTGCCGTCTAGATTCCAAGATTGTATTCAGCCCTTGAAATAACAACTTTGATTGGGCAGGGTGAGATGAAAATTTTAAAAATTGTTTACCCTTTTGTCAAGATGTTGTTTACGTTTACTAGCCTGGAGTAGTCTTGCGGGTCTTCCAACCTCCGTTTTCAGCTTCCTTCTTACATAAAAGTACATTTTACTTTACCTTGGCAAAATGTTGCTTGCTCATTGGAAGTAAACATGCTAGCCCGATGTGTTGCTCTACTGGCCCAGGGGTGATGATTGCTTGTATTCCTTGTATTCCTAAAAATTCTCTGACATTGAATTATAAAAAGGGTTTTTTTAAACTAAGTGTGTCTCAGACATTCTGCATCTAGCTCGTAGCAAATTTAATTTCAGGTTGTGACTATTTTTGTAACATAGGTTGATTCTCAATTTCTTTTGTCTCCTAGGCGCAGGAGACCTAAGAAATTGAGAATCAATCTAAGTTAAATCAAAATTACCCTGAAAGCAAATGACATAAAACATGTACTTTTTGTAGTAAAAACAAAAAATCTGTCTTTTATACAGCCAAGGCCCGCCTTACAGACACCTAGTTAATATGGACACCTCATTATTACAGACAGTTTGCTTTGTCCCCGGGGTAAGAAACCCCGGCATTTTCTCTATATTGAATCCACTTAATATGGACACCTGTTAATACAGACCTTTTCTAATGGCCCCCTAAGTGTCTGTATTGATTAATGGGGTTTGACTGTAATGGTTCTTAGAATATCTATGAACTGATAAACAGAACAATTATTACTGTAATGTTCATGTTTGTAACTTGACTTACATGCTTATGTATGCTTATGTTTTTCTTTATATCCAGATCAGATGCATTATGCCACCAACAGACAGGATCAAGTCCTCAACATTTAGCCTTTAAAGGTTATCTTAAGTACCCTATTACTTTGTAATCCAGCTCTTGAGTGAACCAGATAAACGAAATGTGGCTTGCTTGTTCAAAAGACAATCTTTATTAATCTTATCCAGGACACAAAATTAAAAATGCATTTAAATGCACTTTAAAAGAGTTAACAATAAAGTGCATCTTTAAGGGATTGGTTGGTTTGCGCACACCGAGTAGTTCGCTACAAAATTCACTTGATACAAGTCGTGTGGAGATTTCTTTTTTACAGGAATTTTCATCCTACGAGGTTTCTTAATACAACTCTTTCTACTGCAGAAATTAGTTATAATAAGTAAAACATACAGGGCAAAAGTATCGACAGCTGATTCCTCGTATGCAGTTGAGGGCAAAATTACTTTAGTTGCTGTCGTGCAGAAGAGTTGGTTTTGATTTTGAACAGAATCAGGAACATCTCACAGGACTGAAGTTAATTGATAAAAGTGACTTGAATCTCTGTTTATTTTCAAAGCATCTGGTGGCTGAGTGTAGTTGGAGAAATTCACTTGACCCTAAATATAACCTTTTCAGTCTGTATTTGAAGCTCAAAAGGCAATCCAAATCACCGCTACACAGAATGAAGGAAAACTGTCCAAAACACCCTTTAAGTGTTCAAACCACTTGGAAATTAATTCGAGAGTTTCAATAAATTACTAAAGCAAGTTACATGTAGCAGTTTCACATTGAATTTCAGACTGGATTCTGGAATTATCACAGCCTTCATCTTATTCAAAGAAAATGCTCATAAAATTTCAATTTTATAATCCCATTGTGCAAAGAACCACTCAGTTTAAAAAATTTGGCTTGATAATTAATCATGCCAAATAGATTTTTGATTTTAGTCCTGGATAAGTATTAGCTTGCTTTTGATCAGTTTTGCCACAGCTACATGTATGCTATATGTATAAGCTAAGTTCTGCTATAGTTTAATAAAAAAAACAGTTTTACATTATTTTCATGTGCCAATTTTTGCAATTGCAAATTGCAATTGCAAAAATTTAGAACTACCACATTATCAATGACCCAATAATATTAATTGAAAACTTTAATTAAAGCTCACAATCATTGTGTCAACAAACATGTAAAAAGGTGAAAGAAAACAAGGGAAATTTTGGCGTAAAAGGTCGAAACAAGCCTTTAATATTTTCCAACGTAAAGATAAATTCATGCAATGTGCTCCAAGCTTACATTAATGTGCATTGAAGTTTCATAATTATCATTCAGCCAAGTCAATTTCTGGTTCAAAGAACCTAATAGATGTATGTATTCTGCAGTTGCACTCAGAAAGTTTAAGAAAAAGGTTTACAACAGAAAACGATTAATTAAGTTCATCAGAGTGTTGCTGAAAAGAAAATCTGCAAATCAAAGTGGCAGCCTTAACTCAACAACCTAAACAAATGGTTGAACTCAGCACTTTATCAAAAGCAAGTTTGTTAAAATATTAAAAAGTGCTGATCACTAAAATATCATTCCAAATTTTGCAAAATCTGAAATTTGAAAACCATAAAAGAATTCGAAGTTTGTTGGCACTGTGGTTAGATCTTTGTTCAAAGTTCTCATGATTTTCACATGAAGAT